TTACTTTAACTTTGAGTTCACAACAACGCGCCTAGCATGCTAGCATTAGCCACGTCATAGTTGTAGTTTAAGATAGACTCATGACGTCAAGGTTTTCATTTTAATTCTGTTTTTGCAGGACTGGGCTTATCCAATGAGACGAGAAATGCAGGTATGTTCGTCAGTACCTGTCACCAATGGTCTTCAATGTGACAGCAGCCATCGAGCAGTTTCTAAACATAAGCGCTTAACTACATCGTGACTGTATGATTCAAAGTGGTTCAGCAAGTAGGTTTTATTTGCAGTTAATTTTCCAAGATGCAATTGTAAGCAAAAGTGTTCCCACGGAAATTGGACTAATTTGTCCAGTGCTCAAACAGTGGCCATCATTTGACATTCTTCATTGTCATTGTACCACGCCTATATATAAACTGTTGCAAACGTTGTCATTCATCTTGTTCGAGAACAGCAAGTTGGGCAGAAAACTGCAGAAACATTGAAAAGTTGGCGGTGCCTTCAATAGTTTTGAAAAGGTCGAATAAAGGTCAGCTGTAAAAAAGTGCATTTTCGGTTCATCCTGAACATGTTCACCCCAAAGCCTAATATCTGTCATCTTTTTGTGAGTGGTGTTAAATAAACCATCTGTTAATCATTGGATGCCTCGTTAGGTACAACTGCACAATCAAGTGAAACCCAGTACAGCATGCTGACATTATTCACAAAACAGTGCCCGTGTCTCTTCTGTTTGGATAGGAAATATTACCCGGACTGTTCTTAGGTCCTTATTCTGCTGCCATGAAAAGCAAGGTAATTCTTTTTTACACAGTAGCATATCTTATTAAAATGCATGTTTAGTAATATGTTGGGTCTCTTGGTAGCTGCAGGCTCTGGAGAGAGAGGGCATCACGCATGTCGTGTGCGTGCGCCAAGACATAGAGGCCAATTTTATCAAACCTAACTTCCCTCATACATTTAGGTAAGATTTGGGAATTCAGGCAGTAGTGAGTTGTTGTTGTTTGACTGTCATTTTTCTTCCTCCAGATACCTTGTGTTAGATATTGCAGACAATCCAGTGGAAAATATCATAAGATTTTTTCCCACGGTGAGTTTGAACGCTGTTAATGTCCTTATGGTAAAGTTTTCACGATGTGGCATATTTATGTAATGTCTGGTTCTTGTTCTCTGTGTACAGACTAAAGAATTTATCGATGGCTGTTTAGCAACTGGAGGTGAGATCACATTGTAAATTCACAGTACAACCTTAAAAGGTAAAGTTTGTTTTTTGACTTTCTGTCTTAGGTAAGGTACTGGTTCACGGTAATGCTGGGATCTCGAGAAGGTACGAGAAAGTATTTTTTTTGTTTTCGGTTTTTCATTCATTTGGCAGCATGACGTTATATACTGCTTTTTATAATTGGTCATGAATTACCATTCAATACACCAGAACATCTGCTGTATGCCCCCGAAGGTTTTACAGTTGTGAATTAGAATTTTTTTCCAGTTACTTATGGGAAAATTAGCTTTGAAATGTGGTTAAATTTGAACCGATCATTTTGAACGCAATTGAACGAGGTCATAAAACAGCCTTGTGGCCATAGATAATTATAAAAATGACTCCCCCCCCCCCCCACTTTCAGTGCTGCCCTAGTGATTGCCTACCTAATGGAAACATTTGGAATGAAATACAGGTGAGTCTTTTTTTTTTTCCCATTGCTCTCTTTTTGGTTTAGGGAAAAAGATGCTCATGGGCATATTGTAAGATTGTGCAGGTTTACTTAATGTGGTGTACACGTGTTAAGTGATGATCTTGTTCATGGTGTTGTGGTAACACATTTGCTCCAATGAATTTGGATTCTGGTATTATTAACTAATGATAATCATTTATGTAAAGACACTGATCATATTGAATACTTTCTCACAATTCTCAACAATGATTGAATATCATTCTCCAACATTTTATTTCTATAAATCTCTGCACGTGTTCACATTTTCAAACCATCACTCCTACAACACTCTGGGGAAATCGCAATGTCATATCCCTGATGAGCTGTTTTAAGAATAGGCCAGTGGGCTATTCCGGTGATTTGAGGCAGCTAAGTGATGCCCACCATGCTGGTGACTCCTGTATCCACCCTGTCTGTTCGCTCTAGGGATGCATTCAGTCACATCCAAGAGAGGAGGTTCTGCATTAACCCCAACATGGGATTTGTGCATCAGCTTCAGGTGAGCGTCAACTTTTAACAAAACTTGCTGATAAACAGGTGCAGCTCAATAAATTAGAATATTGGGGTCAGTGTTCAGATGTCAAACTGAAAAATCGTTAACTGTCTGATGTATATGTTAACATGTCTGCGAATAATGTAACGACTGCATCCAAACACGTTGTGGTGAAAGATTATATGCTTGTCCTCCCTGGAGGTGACTCTTTTTGTCAACATTGCCATATTGTATTGAGTAGCTAGAAAACGTACTACCTTCTTCTCTACAGCATGTTGCATCGCTGTAAAATGACCATTTTGGGCCCTATGTTTATCATAACTGGCCATTTTGGGATTACAGAAATATCCAATTTGTGGAGCGTCACACGATGCGTGTTTTGTTTGGCAGGAATATGAAGCAATCTACCTCGCTAAACTGACCATTAAGATGATGTCACCAATGCAGTTGGGCCGCTCCTTCTTACAAGCGGGCATGGCAGGTCCGGTCACGTTTTCTCTCCCCCTCATGAATGTGGTTGTCAAAATGGTTGATATTGGTTTAACTCATGGGTAGGGAACTCCAGTTCCTCGAGAACCATATCCTCCCTGTTTTCGTTCCCTCCCTACTCTAACACACCTGATTGAAATGATCAGCTCATCAGCAAGCTCTGTCGATGCCTGAAACGAACAAGATCATTTGAATCAGGTGTGCTGGAGTAGGGCGAGCTCTAAAACAGGCAGGATATGGGTCTCGAGGAACCGGAGTTTGCTACCCTCGGTTTAACTGAACTGTGACCTTTCTTGCAACAGGAAGCCGTAAGCGCAGCCTGGAGGAAGATGACGACTTTGGAGCAATGCAGGTCGCAGCAGCACAAAATGGATGAGCCTTGCTTACATTTAGCCACAGGCGTGTTGCACTCTTTTTTTTTTTCTTTTTTCTTTTTTTTACATTTTTAATGGGATTAAAAATGTAGACATTTGAACGTTTTTCTAAGGGGTGGGGGGAAGACCACTTATGTCTGTGACATGATGGTCTGAGGGGGATGAGTACATTTGATAACTTTTTTTTGTTGTTTCTTGAGCTGTATGCACTGATCAGAAACTTTTTGCAGTTTTATAGTATTTAAAGCATTTTTGCATTTGCAGCGGGACAGTATTGCAATCGTGCACTTTCAATACTTGAATTTGTGTAGATGACCAGAATGGGGAGCAGGAGGGAAAAGGGATGTCGCCCATTGCAGGACTTGATGAAGGGGGATAATTAATTAATGCCTTTATTTTGGTGTCATAGCATTAACGACTAATAGCAGGCTTAATGTTGGATAGGATGAAATTGTTACCTAATAAAAGTTCTGACTGAATGCATTTGAAATTGTTTGTTCCATCTTCTTATCCAAGACTGTGTGAGGACTCTTGCTAATTGTATTCTACTTAGGTGCACTGGGCAGGTTACAATGTTATTTGGAACATTTAAACACAAAATATGTCAGGTTGTAGCAGTAGTACATCATTTTCTACAGCCTTAATCTTTTGCTTATTTGGGTCCCAGCTGGGTGAGTGGAGCCTGTCTGAGCTAACTGGATCAATGTACCAAAAGCAGAAAGAGCGCATGCAGAGCAGAGATTTGAACTCTAAACTTAATATTAACTATAAACTTAAGAAGCAGATGTGCTGCCTTCCGATTTCAACATGTCCTAAACACAAAAAAAGCACAAGAAATCAGACTGTTATGTTGTATTTTACTGCTGTTTTATTTATATTTTTGCACATATTTGGAAATTAATTACATTAAATACGTTCCCACTGCCCAATTAGAAAAAAGTCACCGAACACAAATCTCATTTTTTGTATCCATACCACCCATCACAAAATGTGATCACTGCAACATTCCAAATATAAAAAGTTAAGAACTTACACTCATGAATATAAACTTCTGTTTTCTTACTTCTACTCATTTTAAATCCTGTAGGATTCATACCCAAGTCATCTTTCAGCATTGGTTAGTGTTTGATGAATTGTTCTTTGGTCACTTGCCTTTCACAATCATTTATTGAATTATTGGATGCTGTAAGGACATAAGCTTTCACTTAATGCCTGGCTTATTTCATTCCACCATTTCAATTTTCTGTCACCACCATCACAAAATAAGACATTTATAGTAACTGATGATTCTTTCTTCAGAGGCCCGCTGCTATGAGATAGCCATGGTTGCCACAACAAAAAGGAGGCTTGGGGAGGGTGGTGGGGGTCTTCCACATGTGTTTTTGTTTACTTCAGCTCTGCAGGGTTCCCGCTCTTCCACTGGCTTTTTATTTATGGACCTTTAAGGACTCTGAGGACCAATTTGGCCGTTTTTAAAGGACTTTTCCTCCATTCGGCGGGGGATTCACGGTGGATTTAATGCCCGCTCAGGAATACGCGGGCTGAACAGAAAGCCACATATCACTGAGCTGGTGTTCAAAACATTGCTGCCAAAGGAAGGGCACATCTTTATTTTTAGGGGCAATCAGCTAACCCTTTATTTGACATACTGTATGTCAAATTTTCACTCCTACCTGTGTCACAGGTAGGAAAATGAAAAAAAAAAATTGAATTCATTCTCAAATAAAGTACACAAAGAAAAAATGTAATTTAGAGGTCCTGCATTTTCCGACAAAACAATGAATTGGAAGGGTGGGGAAAATTACATACAAAAATGAAATAAACACTGCAGGTTAATTTTTATGGATTTTAGAAGATTTCCCTGAAATTTATGGACAATTATGAACATAATTTTACAACTTTTTTTATTGATTTTTAAGAACTTTAAGGACCCGTACGAACCCTGCTCTGATGTCAGGATGACACTCAGAATGACTCTGTAAGCTTCTGAATGACCAGTCCAAACCACAATGTTCTACTTGGCAGATGTCAGAGGGTGACGTGAAAAGCAGCATTCCAGGCCCAAAGTTCTTCAGTGGGAAAACCGACACTGCATGTAAGACTCGTCGGAAGCGGAGTAACCAAACTTTTGGTAGAAAGCCACATTTTTGGGTCCACATTCCAGTGTGATTTTATAGCAGTTGAGTTTTTTACTGAGAAGAGTAAGCGTAGACATTAACCTGTTGGAGAGAAAAGATGGACAGTGGGAAACTGAAGAAGCCAAACAAAGTTGTCTTCCCGTGAGCAATTTCAAGGGTCCAAAATGAAAAACACTTGATAAACATATGACAATGACTGCTCCACTGTAGACAGCAGCACTTCCTCTTCAAAAACCAACATCATCTCTATTAAGATTAAGATATCCTTTATTTGTGCCACACTGGGGAAATTTACAGTCTACAGCAGCAAGATTGTGGGTAGAAAGAAGAAAAAAAAAACAATCACCGTTCAATTAAGTGCAATATAAATACAGATATGGATAAGGTCGCAGTTACTACGGTTATAAATGTGCACTTGTGTTAAACATCTACAGCTACACCCGGTATCATCGATAGTAAAAGTATCTAATTTTTTTCATCTAAAAAAAAAGGCCTGCATTTAAGTTATTTGATCCTGAAGACAACGCAAAGGATAAGAAAAGGATGTATTTAATTGAGGCTTGGCATTGATTTCTGGTAAAGACGTCTAAAGCAACATCAATCATACTACAGTTTATTTCTTCTCCTGAGGAATTAAAAGGATGCATTTAAGATGCTGTGCTTATTTTTTGACAGGGACGATGCAAACACAAGGCAAAAAGGGTAAACTTACAGTATTTGAGGGACCGTGCGCATTTATTCAAGAGAAGGCACGATGATTATTTGGAGTAGAGCGTCTACTAAGAGTGGCAGCAAGTGTTTGTAGTTTGCCACCAAAATGGAATGAAGTAATTTCTTGACTTTCAAGAGGAAGTAGATTTTTTTTTTTTTTTAAATCAAGACAACCCATACTTATGGGCGGAGGTAACAAAATTGTCAGACCAGCCAGAGTTTTACTCACAGTTTTCCCAGCTGTTTGCCTCTGCACACGTCACTAACAACCACCTCCTCAACTCGGCCTCTCTGCAAACAAACCCCCACAGATCCAGTTCTCATTCAAGCTCAACGGTCCACTCATATGCAACATTCGCACCCCAGTCACCTCCTCTCAGGCATTAGTGTGAAGGAAGACATAAACTTACCTTTGCACAAGAATGGACGAATTTGTGCTCTGTGATTAAAGTGGCCGTGGCCACAATTTGTCCAAGATTGGTGTCCTCCACCACCACTACATAGTAGTCCCCTGTTTTTTTCATGTGCTCAAACTTTTCTGAATGATAAAAGAATTTCATTCATTTCAATTGGCGTTCAGCGATGCAGTCACAACAACAAAGTTTTCAATGTGTCAAATAACTTTGACTTACTTAGAAACTGGTCTTCAGTCACATCACCTGTCTCGGTTAATTCAGAGAGAACCATAAAGAACCCTGGAAGACAAAAACGGGAAACTTGTTGGTTTACACTCTTGCTCTTTTTACACAATTTTTAATAGCTACCATTGTGCACAAGAAAAAATATCTCAGTAGTGTATATGCACGCGTATGTATGGTTATAGTGACACCCCTCTCACCCAAAAAAGGTTTACAAATGCCGAAAGATAGCACAAGATGGCAGTAAAATACCAGTTTTCTATGAGAAAGGGCTACGGTCTGATTAAATGGAAGCTCTTTCCCTCACTTCAACACAGTTCCTTGGGACCTAGATGTCACAAGATGGTGCAAACCTCTACTTTTATATTAGACGGGCGGGGCTTTCGCCTGGGCATAAAAACATAATAGGTAAATCCATAATTCGCACATATCCAGGGAAACACTTGACCTGTACAGTAATTCAATGTTAATGATTACATTTGAAAGTGAGGTTGAACAACCTCATGGGTTACATAGCATTGGACTGAATACTAACCTCAAGTTTCCGTGACATTTTGGGAAAATAGCGGCTGGTTGAAAATGTGCCACTTACCCCTGTTGAAGTCGGCGGTGCAGAGGGGCCTGAGCACCAGACCGTCGCCTGGGCTGGAGGGGGAGATGCGGGGTGAGAAGGAGACACTGTTGTCGCTCCAGTCCAACTCCTGAAGCAGAGAAGGATCGAACAGGGGAGTCTCGTCCAGCAGCATTCCACAACCTTGGCCTGGGAAACCCACAAGCATATAAATGAGCTCATGCAGGGAATACACACTTAAGTAGTGTGTGTGTGTGTGTGTGTGTGTGTGTGTGTGTGTGTGTGTGTGTGTGTGTGTGTGTGTCAAAGGATGACACAGAATTTACAAATAAATACTGTACTGTAAATAAATAAATAAGAAGAAACAGTGTAGCTTTGAACAGAGCAACAGTATGTTTATTTTACTTCATGCAGAACCTTGACCTGTCAAACATGAATTCTCTGCCTATTTAGGGTTCACACGCCGTGATCGAGGTCAAATTCAAGCAATTTGCAAGCCTTTGCGCTCACTTTACAGCTCTTGTATAAAATGTATTGACACCAATATACTGGTAAAAATAAAAAAGACTAGGTATTATGCTAGAAACAAAACTAGGGTACAAGATTATCAGGACTAATATGAAGAAAGCTAGGACATATTTATTTGTCTTTTCAGACTTCATACATTCAATCCCAGATACTCATTTATATTTTGACAGATTAAAAAAGGGCCTGAAAATGTCTGGCACTGAGTGAGTTGTAAGAGAAGTGGGAAGTGTTTTTAAATCATGGTGGAAAAAAAAAAAATCATCTTTACTTTGATTAACAAGTAACAATGCATAATGGTGACCTTGGTCTTGCCTACGTCATGTAACTTCCCTTCTTACGTTCTGCACAGCTTGCATTCTGTCACTCAGAACAGCAGCAGCTAATAACATAATGTAAACAAACAACTGTAGTTTTCTAACAGCCACTAGTTTGTCCAGTGGCGAGTAACCTCACATTCCCCATTATGACCAATGGAAGAATCCTGTCCCGTTCGGTCCTCTCTCACAATTCAATCAAATAGAAAGAAACAAAGAAATTAGGGTCGCATATGCTGTATGTCTGTACCCACACTCTGACTTGTAAAAATGCCTAGATACTATGACACGAACCTGGGATATACTGTACAATGTACTATCCAAGGAGGAGCCATGCCAACTATATTAAAGTAGATATTTGTACTAAAATACAGGTTAGTACGTACAATGGTAAATGAGCATGTTCCTGTGCTGTGTGATGATTTCTTCTTACACAACCGCACAAACTTGAAATGTCACATTCCAAGACCACTCTAAAGCAAGGACCCATGTTTAGTAATTTACCATTGTTGAGTTATACTTTGGATTTCTGTGCTCGTAACTTTTGCATTTTCTAACACTTTACCTCAAACCACCACCCCACCCATTTTTGCAACAGGGTTTGAATGAATGGCCCTAGAACAGATGATTCCGATTTCCATTTTTCACTGTTGGAAAGTGACGCTGTTTTACAAGCTGAAGTGCTCGACAGTTAACTATCCCGATTCATAAAATCATATTTGTCTTCACGGGATCCGGGCTAGGTCCCTGAACAGGATACCAACTGGGATATGAGCATATCCCACAAAGGGCTCATTCAACACAACCAACACCACGAAACACTCATCCATTGACTTTAGAGTCCATGAAAACATGCACCTTACCGTAATGCTGTCGTTCCTTAGTTCCACAGACCGCGACTAATCATTAGTTACACCCCAACTAGCACAATGTTAAATGCAAACAGCCCTGCTATAAATCGTCCTCAAAATCTGATATTTATTATTAGGTATTACTGGACGTAATCTACACCTGTCAAATACATTCAATAAACCCTGAGCAATAAAATCATTAGGAGGGTTGAGTTTTATTTTTATGACAGCATTGTTTCAACGTCAAATGTGTTCAAAGTTCATTTTATTTGCCTTGCCAAAATTACTTAGGAGTACAGCCCGTGTTTGTTCAATCAAAAATATTTCCAAATGTAAAACATGAATAGAACGCGTTCTAGATTGATGTTATATAGTAGCAAGAGTCTCATGTCAAACGTTCAAAAAGAAATCATGAAACGGATTCTCGTTTGAAGGTAAGCAGTAATTACAAAAAAAAAAAAAAAAAAAACAGAGCCTTCATCACTCCAGGTGACCACACATTTCATCTTCGCAGTAAGCGACTAGCCGGCTAACTAAAGGACTTACCGTAAACACAGCAAGAAAGAACAGACGACAGAGGGGAATTTCCGTGCTAAATTAACGTAGCTTCGTAGTTAAACTCTTCTACAAGTTGACCGGTTGGTCAAGCAATGTAATACGCTTTCGAAATGATTCATTTTTGAATGGCCTCAGCCACACCACCACGGAGGGTGTCTGCGTCCGTCACACTATGACGTGGCAAAGTTCCCGGTGGTAATGGAATGGGCGCACCCGGATTACGTCATAAGACTATCTTCGGGTGCCTTGTGCTTTCGGTAGCAGTCATGTCTCGTACAGTATATGTACGTTCTCTGTTTTATTTTTTTTTATTTTTTAACAGTTCGGCCAGTTCCCGGTGGTAATGGAATGGGCGCACCCGGATTACGTCATAAGACTATCTTCGGGTGAATTGTGCTTTCGGTAGCACTCATGTCTCGTACAGTATATGTACGTTCTGTTTTATTTTTTTTTATTTTTTAACAGTTCGGCGATTTATGAAACGCACACCAAAGTTATTACAACGGAAACTTTCAGCACTCTACTAAGATGAATAACTCCAACAAACCTAGGTTCACAAACCACTTGTCCGAGAGACAAATCTTTCGGTACACCGGGGAACCGCCAAGTCTTTTACTGTGTACCAAAATCGGAAGGCACCGCAGTTTATAACTTAACTATATTAACACAGTGTTGAAACATTTAAACGGGAGAACACGTATTTTCCATGAATACAAACGTATATTTTAAATAAGTTTGTTGAACGTCGCATGTCGGGACTGTCTTAAACCCCGAGGCCCTTGACAAAATTGTGGCACTGATAGTGTCAACAGGTTATTTTTTTTCTGCTGCTGAGTGGGGATTGTGTAGTACCTCTAGCTCAATAAAGAAAGCTCATGGTAAAACAAATGACTGCAAGGCTCAAACAATAAATACACATAGGCCTACTTGGTTGACGTTTCATATTTAACTACATTAAATTCTCAAATCACAGTATTGTAGATACTCTTCATTACTTTGTCAAAAAAAAAGCTGAAGCCACTCTTTTTTTATTGATTGCAATGTGTATTCTGTATATAATTTACAAAAAAACTACATTTACACAAATGACCCATGAGAGAAACATCTTCATTTGTAGGCACATTTACACTGGTAACGTTCAGTCCAAAAATGTCTCTGCATCTTTGATAAATTCTTCTCTATAAATTCAGAAAACTGTTAGAAATTAAGTGTTATGTAACTACCGGTGAATAGAAAACAAATGAGTCTTGTTTTCACCTATCCAAATCATATCGCAAACATCCCATCCAAATAGTGAGCAAACTGCATCCTATGCCAGCATTTACAGCAAGAGTGGTGAACCTGGGGGCACTGGGCCATAAACAGCATTTGATCCAGCCCACTGTACAATTCCAAAAACAAATATATCCTCAAAGATAACTGTTATAAAAATCCCCAATACGTTTAACTCACTCTTTCCTGGACCATGTATCCATCTTGTTGCACTATAATGAATGACAAAAACATCTCCAGTTTAAGATAATGTTGCTTGCTGGTATGCCCCCCACCCGCCAATTTGAATAGACAAAGGCAAAACATTTCTACATACCCTTTTCTTATTAAAAAATGATAGAAACAGAGATGAGTTGCCAAATACTCGGAAAATAATTTATCAACTGCGACAGTGGTTTAAGGAAGGAAACCCATCGGACGAATACCAAACAATACTTCCCCTTACAAGAGAATAATATTAGAAACCAAAAAATGTACATGCCTATACACCCTTGCTGGTTAAATAACGGATGGAAATGATACACTGCCGACACTTCTGTTTGCAGCATTAAAAACATTCATGTCCTGACCGAAAAATACTAAAGTGACATTCTCTTACACCAAGGTAAGAAGGGAAGAAAAAAATATGTATTTTGCCTACACTTACTGCAGTTCACAGTTGAGAGCTATAAAATAACCCACAAATACATCAGATATGTTTTCCCCACCAAAACAGAACATAAGAATCCTAAGAGGAAAAAAAAAAGGTCAAAGAGCTTTTCAAAGACTCAGTTTCTCTGAATGCAACACATGCTCTTATATTTTCTCAGCCGGCAGCCCAACTACATTGTAGCTTCCTGCCTGCTCAAGCTGCTGCTTACAATGTGTGGCACGTACACAAAGAGCATTGATATACACAATGCTCCCATTAGTTTAGTTGCAACTGGTGACGCCATTTTCAATAGTTTGGCCTTAAGATTAAGTGACGGCAGCCAGCAACTGTACTGTATGAGAGGGGGTGAGTTAAAAACACTGCCATCATTCATGTCATGCCTTTGCTGTGGATGCTGAAGTTTGAAGCTGGGTTTTCAGGGTTCTGCACCCTGATGCATTCGTCTCTGCGCGGCTGCCGCCATGGATCGTCGCCTCAGCGTTGTTGAGTCTACAACTTCCTCCTCATCCTCCAGGCTGGGAACATCATCATCCCGCTCCTCTGGGCTCTTGGTCAGGTATCTCCTGCAAGTAATGTAACCATGGAATGAATGTGTGAATGGGTGGGAATGAATGACTACAAATGCCTATAGAAGATGGCACAAAGCACTGGAGAAGGCTTATAGACTGACTAAATGACTTCAGCACACTTTCTTGGCCAAAAATGGAAACAAAGCTATAGTTTTATATTACATATGGCTTTGGCCAGGTTGCAAAAACAATGAATATGTAGGTCAATGTACGAATACCAACCTGCCTCTAAGTTGCGGTTCATAGTATAACTAGTTTGACTTCAGCTCAGTGAGCATCTAAAGTTGGGCTGGACAAAGTAAGGATCAAGTACCGGGTATGTCTGTTCTTTAATCCGGCCGACTGAGCATTTACATGATCAAGAGTCCTGTAATGTTTGTTACGAGACTTTCGCCCTGTTGTCCTAAAATTGGTCAATTAAAATGCATTAATTTATTTTTAATGAATAGATATGTCTGTTTTAAAATCACATATGGTCCTTAAGTTTAAAAGATTGCCCTCCTCTGTCTTAGAGGTGCCACTGTACCTGCGCGCCTGCCGTATAAGCTCCTCTTTCCGCTGCTTTAACATCGTCTGCCTCTCCTCAGCTGATTTAGAGAAGCGACCACCTCGGGCTTCCATGTTGTCAGGCTCGCTGGGGCCTTCAGTGGCACTGCCGGCACCGCTGGGCCCCGCCTGTTCATCGGGTACAGGACTCACCTGCAATGCACCACGCTCAATGGCCTGCAACCATAATCACACTTTGGATAATCAATTTCAAGCAATTACATGACAAATCAGGAGTGGTCAAAGTATGGCCTGCTGGCTACATATATTCTTAAATTCAGGCAACTGAGCATTTACATTATCACTCGTCCAAGTAACTTTCAATCCGTTTTTTTTCTCTCTCAATCAATCAAAGCAGCATTTAAAAACTTTTTTTTTTTTTTTAGTTTATTTGGGTCATCTTTGATCTCTGATACTGTTTGATAAGCTTAAGCATTAAAGTGGGTAAATTGTGCAAAAAAGGGGGAAGAATTTGAGAAGAGGGCAGTTTTCAGGCCACTGTACAAAAGCACTTACCCATATGCAAACATATGCCTACAGTATATGCAAAAGGAGAAAGACTACTGCCTAGTGTTTTGCCTTGTAAAGCTACATGCATCAAAGTGAACAACAAATGAAGCCAACATGGGAAAGCTGAAATTTCCAAGTACCAACAGAAATAGCATGTATGTGCTAAGTGAGAATCCTTCAAATTTGACAGCTGACAGACCTGTGTGGGTGGAGGGAAAGGCACCTGGATGCGTCCCTCCAGGATGTTGTCAGTGGTGACCTCCACAGAGCGGGTTAGCTGAAGATCTTGCATAACCAGGTAGGAGGGAACCTGAGGGAACATCTCTTGGATCTGATGGGCCTGTCGACATGCAGGTAAAACAACAATCACGGAGCAATAAGGATCGAAAAAAAAAAGACCACAGAGGGAATCAGAGCAGACTGCTTGTGAAATATACGCAAATCTATAGAACGTACACTAGCTAACGCTAACCACTGGCATTTATTCACCTGTGTCCTTTACACAGAACTCAGCATGCTGCAATTAGACCATTAACCAAGTGTCTAACTCAGCATCAGTATCCGGTGCAACACTTGTTAGGCAGCGATTACTGCTTTCAACACAACATGCAAGAAAAGAAACTCCTGCGTGTTAAATTTCATACCCCATCCCAGGATAGTAGAATACCCTTCCACACAGGCAGTGTTGAGCCTCTGTTATGCCTGTGACACTATCTATCCATCTATCTATCTCAAATGAGAAACTTACCATGGCTGTCAGCTGAGAGTTGTTAGCCTGAGCAATCCCTAAGATGTTGGTGGTGTGCATCACTTCTACTGAGAAACTAGGCAACCAGCTCGCAATACGTGACCCTGTGAAAGAATGCAAAATTAATGGGACCAGCTATTGTACTGTGTAGAAACCGCATGTTTGTGCGTGCGGACAGACCATCGAAGTGAAAGAAGTGATTGTGCTGATTGATGTGTGGCCTCTGATCGGCAGCGGCTCCAGGGGGGCCGGTGTTGTCCTCCATGCGGGCGCCTTGCTGCTGGCCTGTCGCCTGCTCGCCTTCTCCGTTGATGTTGAGGGACGTGCGGCAAGTGGGGCACGAGGTGTCCTGCTCCAGCCAAGAGCGCAAGCAAGAGCTGCAATAAACAAAGAGCACACACATAAACACACAAAAACTCAGATAGGCTTTTTGACCAGAGGAAAAAGAGTTTTTTAAGTCACAGAAAACACACACAGAATCAACTGTATGAAGATTTAAAAATCAATCTCACTTGTGGAAGAGATGACCACAGGGAAGCTTGCGTGCTGACACCATGGCATCCCAGCAAATGGCACAGTCATCATCATTCGCTGCCAGCTCCTCGGCAGTGGCAACTGCAAATCTAAAAAACAAAAAACAAAATTTATGCATGTAAATGAAGAAAAAAAATTCAAATGATACTTATCGATACGGATTTATTTTCACCTGGCCTCCATGTTGTTGATGACGCGAAGGTAGTTCTTGTGTCTGCGAATGCGACGCTGCACCTCGTGGAAGAGATATCGCAGCTGCATGAAGATGACCAAGCTTGCCATGGACAACCAGATGTTACCGAAAAGCTGATGAGACAAACATCGAAGAAAAGGTTGAAACGTTACAGAAGGATGATGTAGAAGCAGACACATTCATTTATTTCCACTCATTGTCTCACCAGCATATGAATGTGATGCACAAGGTCTAGAAATAGCATTGCCAACTCCATGACGAAGTCGGTGTAGTAGACATAGGTTCCTTTACTCTCCCAAGTTCCTGGGTGCTTCAGGTCCCACAGGTGGATGGAGTACCTACAAAGAAACAACTCATGGTCAATACAGGGCCATTCAAACAAAAATAATTTGTCACATCCAAATTAAGGTGGAAAAAGCTCAGACGACAATTTACGCATCAATTAAATATTCCACATGGAAATGAATTGAAAACGCTATGCCTTTTGTTGAAGAAAAATAGCATTGTATTGTTAAAAAAAAGATAAACCATAAAGAGTGGAAAAAATAAACAGGTTTTATAAAGTGTAATGTTCAATCAGAGTGAGAGTCACAACAAATGTAGGGTTGTTTGTGTGTCTTCAAGGCACATGGCCAACTCAGAAGTATGAGGATTTTTTTTTGTCTGCTCTGAGCATCTGTGTGTGAGTTTTGGTCATTAGTAGGTCTTTGTGAGTGTTTCCTTATTTATATTTTTCTGTTTGACCATCGTTCACAATCAATGAACAGCAGAAAGTGCATCAGTGACTGTAATTTCCCATTTTTTCATTTTACTCAAGTGGTTGAGTGCCTAAATTGTACTTTTTTGGCTCACAACGCAAAGAAATCAGCTGGCAGCTCAATATTTGAAAAAGTTTCTCCGTCTGACCGCTTTTGACTCTAGGGGTTTTCAACTTAGTCTGTGTGTCTATCTAACTGGCCTCTGTGGACCAAAAAGGCAGTGAGAACGATGTGTCTTGCTGAGATTAACCTCCACCAACACCAATGTAACTCTGAAGAGGCAATATTGCATGCTGAACTGGTGCGCCCACGTGCATGACTGCCTTAAGCAGGCTTTAAAGGAACTTACCGCATGATGACATGTCCTGTGCGAACAGTCACCATCAGGCACTGGAGGCAAAGGTAGACAGATAAACATAATCAGTCTGCGCCATATAGGTTCGAACAAGTAAAAATTATATATCACATTTTTACCTCTGCGGCCATGAAAGAAAGGGTATGCATTCCATGGGATGCCCCCAGCAGACCACAGACTACTGCCAGACCACAGCAGCCAAGCAGGAGGGAGACCAGAAGACACATGACTCGCACGTGGCTGTTCATGGGAGTGGAGGGCGAGAATGACAGCTGCCACAACAAATAACAATAACAGTGAGAGTTAAAGATGCACTGGCCCTTGCGACAGGAATATCATTTCATTTTACTCAACCAAATCAAGTATTTAAGTTAAAAAAAGTAAATGAAATAACAGCCCTTTTAAATATCATTGTTAAAAAAAAAAAAAAAAAGGCAGAATGTACTGGAATGTACACTTGCCTCACAATTTTGAGGTTTGGGTTTGAATCTTGGCCCCCCAAACTAAAATCAGATGAGTGTTCTCATTGCTATACGAGCACAAGCTACACCTCACTTTGCACATCTCAGTGTGCGGACGACCAGCTCATTCATTGTGTATGTGTGTGGCGAACACAAGCCAGGCATGCTGCAACTGAATATTGTTGTGGATGGGTCAGCACTTCTAGTGCGAGACTTGTCTCCATGCCAACAATACACAGACAGCTTTCTAGTTCTAGTATGGCCACAAAGTCAGTAATTGACAAAGAAAATATGTTTATGCAGGGGATGTGGCATTGGGGTTAATTTATTGTGTTAAATTTACAAGGTGTCCGAGAACACAATGATAATGATGATGATGATAATTCTGCTGCATGTGCACTTTTGGACAAATGGGATTTCCCTATGCTTAGCTGTCAGTTTATGGCTGATCTGTTTGTGCAGTGTTCCCACTTAATATCAAGTGAACATAACAGCACTTAAGTTATTTATGGCTGATCTGTTTGTGCACTTAATATCAAGTGAACATAACAGCACTTAAGTTCACATGCAAGTGGACCAAGACTACTTGGCGCTCAAATAAACTGAACCGTACCTGAGTTCAAATGCAATTGTAGCTGGACTGCTTGGAGTGTCAGTGAACAAACTCAGACTCAAGTTCATATGAAACCAGACAGACTACTTGGATATTTGGAGCTCAAGCGAACCAGTCTGCACCCGAGTTCACAAGCAAGCAGACCGAGACCGCTGTTGCACTCAAGAGAAATGAACCACACTTGAGTTTTCAAACAGGGCAGACAGAGACTACTTGCAGCTCAACTGAACCCAACTGCACCCGAGTTCACATGCACGCAGATTTTAAATAAGTGGTTTGGTTTGTCCTCTTTGGTGCGAACGAGATTTCAGAAGTGTGAAAATTTTTTTCAGACTTTCACAGAGCTTGCTCTGTCTTTAACAGTGAACATGATGGCATGAAGCAAGTAATTAGCTCCGCCTTCCTTGTTATTGAAAGAACAGAACGACACAAGAGACAACCGCCGGAAGAAAATATTGGAGACAAGACTCTTTATCTAAGAGACATACAGACGTGCCTGTATGGCCTGAGATGGACCCCCTTCAGCACTATTATTAGCACTAGAATGTTGCGGCCTGTTCGGCCACTGATACATTTTCATTTGCTACGGTGTAACTTACTCCTTCCTGTATTAGATAGTGTCGTGCCTGTGCTGGAAAACAAAGTATCATATGATGCTTGTAGAGCCATGCTCCGCTTGAGGTGTCCTAGATCAGGGGCCCCCAACCTTTTTTGCCCCACGGACCGGTTTATGTCAGACAATATTTTCAGGGACCGGCATTTAAGGTGTGGCGGAAATAATACAACGAAATAATATGGTATGAGCTGCATGAAAACTGTGGCGTTTTCGAAATATAATAATAAACACAAGGAGCGTCTAATCTGGCCGCAACACTCCGATCGCTATGGCAATGTTTAATGCCTTCAAAATACGATACAACGCAAATTCAAAGAGCATGAAAATGAGGACTCACCACAGCACCGAGCTTGATTTTCTGCAACCAGACGGTCCCATCTCGGGGTAATAGGAGACAATGACACCTCAAGTGTGTGGTTTATGTCAAGTCTACTTCGTAATTTGGTTTTTGTCACCGTTGCTGCAGAAAAGCCCCGCCTCACACAGGTAGCATGTCAGAAATAACAACAGTGCTACTGTGGCGATCTCAGAATATTCAGACATAACTTTAATCCAGTTGTCTCGAACGTACTTTTAAGGCCGCCGTCATTTGTGATCTCCAGCAGTTTTTTTTACTCATTTTGCGAGCTCCTGCGTTTTGTTTTGAAGTAATCGGTCACGTGATGGAGAAGCGTGGCTTGA